TGGCTTATTTCAATGATTGCTGAAACCACACCGGACAACCTGACCCAAAGACTGCCAATCCTGTCAGTGTGAAGCCCTGCAAACATAAGTATTAAAGTATGATGTTAAAGAACTGGCAATCTTTTCCCCGCTCCGCGACGGCAGGAAGGTCCCGCAGAAAGGCCGAGTCGAGGGCCAAGAACTGCCAAAGGAAAGGCCGATGGAAGACTTGTGAAGGCCGGGGCCAGGAGCGTCCAAAAGAAAGGCCGATGGATGACTCGTCTTGTGATTGATGTGCTTAAGTTCTTTATTATTTTAGAGGACTGACCTAAGGACCCAGGAAGACCAATCATCCACGCTTTTTGCTCGAAGACTTAGCCTTCGCCGGCGCTGGCAGAACTGGTGGATCGTCCTCAGCTTCTTCTTCTTCCTCTTCCTCTTCCTCTTCCTCCTTCTTCGCCAGCTTTTGTTCTTCTTCACGCAAGTTCTGCTCAGCTATGCGAGCTCGCTTCTTGGCCTTCTCCACAGTCTCTTTGGAGAACCGACTCTCCAGGAGGACCTTCTTGTCCTTCTTCTCCTTCTTCTCCTTTGTACCCTCTTTCTGCTTCTTGTTGGTCTTCTCCTTTTTGTCCTTTTTCTCCTTTTTCTCCTTCTTCCCCTTTTTCTCCTTCTTTCTCACGTGAGAGACCTGCTTCATCAGGGCGTTGAAGCAGCGGGCCGTCTCCGATGACATGGGACTGGCCATCGAGGAGGAGGAGGACCCACGACGTCGACCAGAGGACCTCGCACGACCAGAAGACCTCGCACGAGTCCTCCCACGCCGCCCTGAAGACCTCGCAGGACTAGGAGAGGCCTTCGGCGACGGCAGCAAAGGAGTCGGAGAAACAGTCGTCCTCCCGGACTTGGCGAGCTCCTCCTTGAAGCGAGCCCTCTCCTCCTGGACAGCAGAGTTTGTGATTAACGATTGATGTGCTTCAGCTCATTTACCCTTGGGATTAGTTTAAGGCGGAACTCTAAAGTTTTTTTCATTTCAGGTGTAGGGCTGTAAAGATGCGAATGGTTAGGAGGCTTAGGCTTAAGGTTTGAATCCACCGCCTTGTGGAGGGCCTCTGCATGCTTCAGATTCTGGGATCGCCGCCACATGTCCAGTCGGAGGACCTCATTCTCCCTCTTCACCTTCTCCGCCGTGTCCAACCGCTCAATGGAGCTCGCCCTTGGAGCTTTGAAGGGAATTATAACAATAAGGTTCAGGATTTAGGGTTTAGGGTTTAGGTTGTAAGTGCTTTGTCAGTCAGCCAAGACACATCACCTGCTCCGCCATCCGAGCCACCACCTCCTGCTGAGGGCCGGTGTTCACAGTCACAGGATGGCCAGGATTCGGCAGAGAATGCAAAGCAGGAGGAGGAGCACGGAATGGCTGTAGAGGGCCTGCAATGCTTCCGCACATATTCCAATTAATTGCTGCGCAAACCGGCTAGGCTAGTATTAAATAAACTTAGACTACTAACTTTGCTACTTCGTAGTACTGCAGCTAACCTAAATCATGTTAGTCTAATCTAACACTAAGACGACGGCCAAGCCTGGGCGGATAAAAGGGCTCGGAGAGGGAGTGCCCTTCGGAGCTGCCGCTGGGATTCCCTTCGGGAGGGCCGGCTTGGGATTGGAAACTGGAGAAGGCTTGGGATTGGCCTTGCCAAAGAGAGGCTGAGGAGGGCCTGACTTGGCGGCAATCGGTGGGTTCGCCTTCGGAGGACCAGCGGCAATCGGTGGGTTCGCCTTCGGAGGACCAGCCCCGCCCTCCGGGTTGGCCTTGCTAAAATTATAGCAATTCGGCCAACCCGGAGGGCGGGTTGTGGGATCTGGGAGAGGCCTGCTCCCCTGAGTGGCCTTCCACCTCGCTGCCGCCTTCGCCTCCTTAGTTTAAGGCTCTGGGTAAAACGAGTTAAGCAAGCTAGCTAAAAACTTAGGGAAGGAAGTAATGGTTGGGGGATACTCCTGGTGGGCCTAGAAATGATTAATTCAGCTCCTACCCCCTATCCCCCTAAAACCCTAAACCCCTAATAAGCATACTAAAACCTATGAATAAAAGTGATTCCGTGAGGACCGAGAGACCGACTCTCTGGCGGCGTTCCGCCAGTAGTCGGACACCTTGCCTTTCTTGACCATGGCAAAGGCGCCGATGGAGTCGGAGGACCTATCGAAAAACCTGGATTAAAGTGCCTAGCCCACTGGGCTTAGATCTTCAATTGAGTGTAGATGGCTTATGGAACTACTTATAGCTACCTGGATGTCAGTTGGCAACAGCTCAAATGCTAGTTGCCTCTCAACAACTTCTGCTATGCGAAGACTTGACCTGGATGTCAGTTGAGGCAACAGCTCAGGAGCTAGTTGCCTCTGAACAACTTCTACTATGCACAAAACTAGACTTGTACCTGGATGTCAGTTGGCAACAGCTCACAAGCTAGTTGCCTCTAAACCAATTCAGGCTATGGATGACTACAGGAGACTCACTCCTAATGTGTGTTAATTGAACAGGCCGGATGCCCCTCAGGCTACCGGGATAAGTTTTCGAAAGTTCGCAGGAAGTTCGCAGGAATCGCTGACTGCAAGCCGAGGTAGCGGCAGTGGCATACAATCATACCGAGAACACAAAAAACACAACGGAAACATAACCTGGCTGAATTAAGGGGTCTCGTCTGAGTCTGAGGGTGTAAGGATTTCCGGCTCATTGATTGAGTGCTAGATGCAAGATTCAGAGAGTTTCGGGTCGTTGTCCATTGAGTCCCAGGATTGTGGACTTAGGTGCTTAGGTTCGCGGGTGAAGGTGTTGGTTGAAGGCTTAGGCCTCAAAGGGTTTAGGCTATTTCGGTTTAGGGTTTGATCCGTTCTTGCCCTAAGACTGGCAATTGCCGAACCACTAGCCTCAACAGCTAGATTCTAAGGCTATTGAATAAATGCTATTGACACGTGTTGAGGATCACCCCACTTCACGTCTAAATCATGCTTCATAAGACTATGTACGGCAAAAAAACAAAGAACCCACACCATACACACCCCTCCACACTATGGGTTCCTGGGGCCGTGCTTTATGACACTGAAGTGGAAGAATACAGAAGCACCCCGGGACACCTACACAGCCCTCCATTAACAGGCTCCTTGGGCCATCCATGCATTATGTCATGTTATCTATTTATTGCACCGAAAATGAATATGAAACTATTATCTGTATCATGTGGGAAATACGGAACCCACCCCACAACAAAACCCCTCCACGCTGAAGCTTCCAGGGGCCATGCTTTGGGTTACACGCAGTGCTGTTAGCAATACTTTTTGTTTGGGTTAATGAAATAATGAAAACCCCGGCCAAAGCTCCCTAAACCTTTGGCCTAAACTCTGAATCGCCCTCCCGTCTCTCCTCCAGGAGGGCCAGAAGATGGATCCGCCGAGCCTCGTGAAGTTAGCTACTAGCTACTGGCTACTAGGTAGTAGTTCGCAGTTAGTAGTTTGTAGTTAGTGGTCGTAGTCGTAGTGGTCGTGGTAGTGGTAGTGGTCGTGGTAGTGGTAGTGGTGTAGTTGTAGTTAGTAGTTAGTAGTTAATAATAGTTAGTAGTTGGTAGTTAGTAATTATTTAGTATTAGTAGTTAGCAGTTAGCAGCCGTTAGTAGTTAGTAGTCAGCAGCCGTTAGTACTTAGAAGTTAGTGGTTAGTGTCGGTTAGTGGCTAGGGGTTAGTAGTTAGTGGATAGTAGTTAAAGGCAGTAGTTAGTGGTTGGACAATTGTGGTTAGTAGTTAATGGTTAGTAGCTAAACCTGGAAACCCAGGGAGGACCTACCAGGATGGGGAAGACCCCGATTAAAGCCAGCACCCCGCCCAAAACCCAAAAACATCCTCCTCGGCCACCTTAAATCCCAAAGCCTCCCTCATCACAACTTGTGCTACAAACCCTGCCCGTCCTGCCCAAACCTAGGGCATGTGTTTGCATCAATCCTATTATAAGAAGCTCCCCAAGCCTAAAGTTCATCGTAAACCCGTGCTACTATTCCTGCTACTGCTACTGACTACTACCACTACGACTACGATTACTGATGAGTCAAGCCCCAGACTCAACCCGGAACCAAACGAACATCCCGCAACCCCAACCCTGGTCCTACTGTCGTCCTAAGTCGCCGAGTCCTTCCGTCCTAGCGGACGGTGAGTCCTAACGGACTCCGGACTCTATCGTCCTAACGGACGATCTCGTCCTAACGGACGAGTCCGACCTAACGGTCGGGCGACAACACGGACGACTTCTGAAGCTTAACCTTAAATCTTAATCCAAAATTCAGAACGCCTCAACCCGAAAATCCAAAACCCCGCACTGCAGATCTGAGCTGGGGCAAAAGCGCGACTCGATGATGTGGTCCATGGTGATGGCCAGGGGCTTTTAGGACTAGAGGGCCATGGCGCTTGAAGGGTTAGGGTTTAGGGTTTAGGGTTTAGGGTGTAGGGCGTATGGTTCAGGGTTTAGGTGCAGGGGTTGAGGGTTGGAGTTGTGGAAAGAGGGGTGAAGGGTTTAGAATTTCAGGATACTGGAGTTTCGGAATCATAGGGTTTCTAGGGTCTTGGAATTATAGGGTCTCGTCAGAGGGTTTGGGGCTCAAAGTTGGTTCAACCGCCTAACCATAAATCTTGAAACTAGCTGTCCTATGTCGACTATGGTTTACTGCAATCTGAACCCAAAACCCCAACCATTAATCGTGTGTGTACTCACGGACTCTTCAGTCTGAAGCTCGGGCAGAAACACCGGCAAAAATCGAAACCCCTCCCAAGGAATAGCTAGTAATAATATCAGAGCTGGCTAGTAGGACCCTAAACCCTAAACCCTTATATAAGTAACCATATACCCTATTACAAACCCTAAAGGCTTAACCTAATATACCCACAGGCAAAGGTACATTCGGCCTAGGGTACCCTTTAGCAGTTCCCGAAAGGAACCCCAAAGCCCTATTCTAACTATTAAGGCCTAGTGCTTCTTGGAAGGCCTCAGGCTGAATCTCGACGCCCTCCTTCGCTTCAATTGCCTGGACGAAGCTGGGTAGATTCAGTGGAGGCGTGCGGAAGAATGCAGCAAGGTCCATCAGGGAGTTGCTGAGCACGTGCGCTGCCTAACCTGCTCGAACAGTCTACTGCCAACGACGAAGAACAACAAAACGAGAGTAATCTTCGCAAGCCAAGCCCGAAGGAACATTGCAATGTTGCGTCAGGTCACACTTCGCGTTTGCATAACATGTACACGATCGCAGAGTCAACTATCAAGGCCAGGCTGAATATTTTGTCATCTTCACGGCATATACTGTTGCCATTATCCAAAACTCCCACGAGTCAACCTTAAAACCCAGTCCAGGTCGATTCCCGCATCCGGAAATTGAGACCCACTGACCACATGCCATGCCTGCTGCAAGCCGTCACTCCAGCTGCGGCCCTCCACTGGTCGCCCAGTGAATTCGTCGACTACGACCACCTTACGCCGGATATCCGCTGTCGTTCTTGACTACCTTATAATTATAGTTAAACCAAACATAATCTACTTGTTTCTAGGTTCTGATATGTTCTGATTATGTGCCCCAATATATCCTACGAAAAGTAGCTTTTCAATCGTAGTTTCAGGTAGGTGTAGGGTGTAGGGTTTGGGGCTCCCCACAGGCTACTGTCTAAACGTGACTATCAAAGCAAGGTCTTGGGCCACTGCTGTTTCACTATGCTAGGGCACCTCTTAGGATGCGAGTTGCGTGCTCTCTTGGGACACAAAAGATAAGCGTACTTGCCCAGTATGATAGGGGAACTAAAGCTCAACCTTTTGGACTATATGGGGCTGATAATGCCCTAAAACGGTTATAGGATAGGGTGTCGAAAGCTAGGATGTGTTTTTGCAGGGGTAAGGGTGTGGGGCTAGGGTTTGGAGGCTTGAGGCTCTTCTGGCCTGCAAGCAGCCAATGGAGTCTAGGCCAGAATCTCAACGAAGCCACCTGGCAAAAACCCCCTTTTACACCTGGACTTTTGCCCCTTAAACCCTAAACTGAACCCCATACATCTCCATGCTGGCCGTGCCACTTTACCATCTCGGACCAGGTACTGCCCTCGGGTGCGCTCGATTGGCGTGTGGTTTGGCGTTCGATTCAGCTTCTGCTGTTTTGCATCTTTCCAGTTGCTGCACATGAAAGGATTGAAGGCAGGGCCACTAATAGCCATCCTGACCCAGATAATTAAGAACAAAAGCGAGCCTGCAATATAGGGGCCGTATATAATATTTACAATGAATAAGGTTTTGGGGTATATTGGCTGTAATTATAGTAAAGAGCAACCAGAATAGTCATAGTTACTGATTAAGGCCCCTAAACTAAAACCCCCATAATATGAGTTTTAGGATATACTCTACACTACTATAGTTATAATAAAGGCAACTATTAAGGCCTCTCTACGAAATCTTTATATAATGGCCCGTATAGTAATCCTATAGACCCTTTAAGAGGAACCCGTAAAGGAAACCCTAGTCTAATTCTGAAGGCCCTCATATAGAGTATGGTTTATATTACTAGTATCCCCATAATAGAACCCAATATATACACTCACCAATATTCAAAAGGAGCCCTATCTACACTCACCAAAACGGTAATTTAACCCGACTTCATATGAATGCATCGCATCTCCAGGCCAAGAGTCGATCTCGTTGATATAGCTCTTTGGCTGTCCTTGGCAAAGGCGAGGGGTTTAGGATTTAGGGATTTTCGTTTTGAAGGCCTCAGGGTTTGGGTTTTTTTTTTTGGGGGGGGGTTAGGGTTTAGGGTTTAGGGATTTTTGTTTCGAAGGCCTCAGGGTTTGGTGTTTTTTTTGGGGGGTGAGGGTTTAGGGTTTATTTGATTAGGGCTTGGGTTGAGGATAACGGTTACTTTGTATGACATCATGCACCAATGTCGCAACCATTTCTGCATGCTTGTGCCGGGTTTGCTTTATCCAACAAGTAGCATGTTGCCTCCAGAACCAAATGCCACGCAGGTAGCCCTCAAAGCATCATGCACCCATCGTTAGGAAAATTAGTTAGAACGTATTCAAAGACCAGGGCAGCACTGCGAGCTCCCGAACTGCAAGACAACCTGTACCCATTGTCCGTATGCCGAAGACAACTCGTGGACGAATCTGATTGGCTTAGGTTTCGGTTGGATGTGGACATGCGAGGAGCAAAAGGCAGTCCCTCAGAGCTGAGCTATCGTAATCTGTATGGGATGAGAATAAGTCTATGGGGTATGCCCAAAGAAATATGGTTATATACCTTCGACCCTCAATCCGCGTCAGCCCTGATAAAAGTCGAGACAGGTCGCAACGAGTTGACGATAAACGGTGCCCATGGGTCCTTGCCAGGTCTTTCAGGTCTCCAGCAGGTTGCATTCTCAGAACAGCGGGGGCCCCGACCCTAAACCGAAAATTCACCCTGAACCACCACAAACAAAGGGAGCCCAACAGTTCAAGAAATCGGCACTTGAAGTGCAAAGGGGTCAGCTTTTGAAACAAGCACCCCATCTTTTCACGAAACCCTGGGTTTAGGCTTTGAGGTATCCTTGGGGGTTTCTAATGTTTGAAAAAAGATTCTAAAGTTGAGGAAGTTTGGGGGTCTCCATGGGGCCCAGGCATCCTCGACCCTAAACCCTCAGCCCCGCGCCACGGATCCGAAATCCGGACACTTAAGCTCCAAGCCCTATACACCTTGAGCCCGTAGTCCTGCGTACTTTGACAGCAAAGCCGGAACCCCTAGAAGCCTCATAGGTAGCACTTGTACAAAAACCCTTAATTAAAGGATCTTAAAGGAGCCTGTTTTAAACATTTTCTGCACCGGCTTGATTGGAGCTCGCCCGGCCTTTAACCCTGAATCCCATACTCCCTAAGCCCTTGTTTACACCAGGGTTTTGATGGATGCCTGTACACCACTGAGTGCAGGATCATAAATCCTAGAAGCCCATAAACCTGAAACCCCCACCAACCTCCCCAAACCCCCAGCTCCCCAACCCCTGAACCCCAACCCCTAACCCCTAAACCCTAAACCCCCCAAAGGACACTCCAAACTCCCTAAACCCTGAACCCCTTTTGCATCCAGGCCTATTGCGACTGCCCTCATCCCTAAACCCTGAATCCCTAAACCCCTGAACCCTAAACCCCCAAAAAGCACTCGCAGTCGGCCGGACACCGGGACAAGCCTGGGGATCGAACAGGTCGTTCTTTCCCAAGGCATCCGACACTTTGACCTCTCCAACTTCCTGGGAAGCCCAGGGTTTTTCTGGGGTTTAGGGCTTTAGGGTTTTGAAAGGTAGGGGTTCTGAGGTTTGGGGTTTTAGGGTTCTAAGGTTGGGGTTTGAGGGTTCAGGGTTTTGGGGCTTTTTGGTTTAGGCCTAATGCTTCGTAGGGTCAGGTTTGCTCAGGGTTACAAGGGTTTTTGTGGGTGGTGCTTGGGTTTGACAGGTGGTCCAATTGCGGCACGGTCGCCGTCAGAACACAAGTCTTCTCCTCGGCGTGAGAACGACGTGCTTTGTGCAGTGGCTACACATAGACTTATTTTATTCCCTGCGTCTTGCATGGTAGACAGCTTGCATGATAAAGTAAAGCGTCACGCAAACTGAAGAACAACAGCTTGTGCAAATTGCAGGGTGCCACGCGCCTACATGCGTTGTCACCGCATCTGAAGTGCAGAATGATTTGCAAGCAAGGAGCTTTCTCAAGCACTGTGTAGTCTGTCAACTTCGCCAGCTGACTTGCTACTTGAAGCGCTGTGGTGTACTTCTCGGAGGGTATCGTCGACTGCGTAGATACGACCAGTGGGGTACGTCCTTCGTCGATCAGCACCTTGACGGCACAGCCAAAAGCTGCTAGGCTTTTCTCTGAGCATTTTAATTGACTCACTCAATACAGGTGCCTGAACACTCAGAAACTCAGAAAAGAAGCAGGGTTTTGAGAATATCTTACCCGGCTTACTTAAAACAAAAAATCGTGTGGGACTCTTGCTGGCAGTCTGCTAGCAGTAGAGGGAGGAAGAAGAAGCAGTAGTAGTCGTCGTAGCGGTACTAGCAGCAGCATCAGTAGTAGGAGTGGTAGTAGTTGTGGTAGGAGTCGTAGCGGTAGTAGTAGTGGAGTAGTGTTACTTGTAGTAGTGGTAGCAGGAGGGGAGCAGTAGCCGCGTCGTTGCACGATTTCGCTTGGGGCTGCAGTTTCTGGTCTTTCGCACTTCTGATGAACATCGGCACCGAGTCGGCTTCGTCGACGATGGCGCAAGAAAACGGGTCCTGACGTTTCGATTCCAAGCTGTTTAAAGCTCTGGGGCTAACCTTTTCTGAGCTAACCCTAAACCCTAAACTCATAGACCCGATTAAACCCTGAAGTCTAAATCCAGCAACTACAAAGCCTGAGGCCTGAGGTAGGACTGCTTGACGTGGAAGACCCTAGACTGCCACACCACGATCTAAAAATGCTCGGGAATGCAAGATCTCGGCTCATATAGTTGCCTTACTAATTCCCGAGGAAGAAGGATACTATCCCGACCGCCCCTAACCCTAAACCCTAAACCCTACACCCCAAACCCTGTAAACCCTGATCGCTAGACCCTAAAGGCTTATGCTACGGTCTGCAACGGGTCCTCCGAGCGAAGCCGGAGATCAGATGGCCGACAGGCCATCTGATCCCGAAGATAGTCGAAGCCTCTTCGGAGGCTTTCGGGTTTACTCTTTTAGGGATTAGGGTTTTGGGATTAGGGTTTAGGGTTGAGGGTTTCGGGTTTAGGGGTTTAAGGTTGGGGTACAGGGTGATATAGGGTCGGGTTTAGGGTTTGAGGATTTAGGGTTGCTGCTTAGGGTTGTAGAGGGTCCAAAACTATAGTGGCCTTCATAATTAGAAACAAGGCTCCTTCAAATGGGTGTATAAGGCTACTGTAAGAGCTATTAAAAGATAGGGGAAGGGATCCATAGTGGTGTAGGGGCCTAAAAAATTAGAATAGGGTTTCGGGGGCCCAGTATACTGTCAGTATAATGAGGAACCCCCAAATAGTATTGGAACTGTTTAAGGCATGTTAAGGCCCCTATAGTAGGGCTCCCGCGTTATATTTTTCCCTCTCGCATGTGCTGGAAGTCTATGCCCGCTCGCGAGGTCTGACATGTGAAGGATACATGAGATTGTAGCAATCATCATTCGCGATGCTATGTGTGTGACTGTACTGAGGTTAAGGGTTTAGGTTTGGGGTTATATAGGGTCTTACAGTTTACAAAACTGAGAAACGGTAGTCTAAGTTTAGTGGCAGTGTTTAGGACCGGTTAAGGTTGTACGGGGGGTTATTCTGCGTTTTTCCCAACAGTTGGCTGCAACCTGTTGGCCATAGTGGATGTCGGATTTCGGGCATCTGTGGTGCGGGAGAACAGCAGTGTAGATCTTAGGGCGTCAGAACAATTTCAAAGACAGAAACCTAGAACGGCTAAAGCACGCATGACCTGCTTGATGTCGGCGTACCGTACGTGGCTTGAACGAACAGACAAGATCTCAACACCGATTTGAGATGAACGCCGGTACGGATGTTGAAAGGCGCACAACACATGCAAGACCACAAAGGAACTCATGCTGATGAGATCAACTTTCTCAATCAGGACACTCGCCCATGTGACTCTATATCCAGCAGTACCAAGCTTGCATGCTGTTGCCAGTGCCTCTGAACGGCACAAAGCCCCAAAACCCAAACCTCACAACTCGTTGGATGCCTCGCACACAACGCTTGAATCCTCCGGAGCAAAACTGACTCCTTATGCGAACTCTCCACAGGCGAAGGTAAGAGCCCGTATAAACATCAGAAAAGGGTTTTGGCTACAAACTTAGAACCATGGACCCCCAAAGCTCTTGGGTATTTTAATGGTTTCGATACAGGCAAAGAACCCAGCTGCTGGTTCGTCACGTATGTGACGTCACAGGCATACGCAGCCCTCTTCTCCTCTGGCTCCATCTCCGCTTGAATCACCTGATTCAAGTGACCCTAAGTCCAAAAATCCGCCTGCGCTTCCGTGGTAATGTAGGAACCTGATTAAGAAACCCTGGGCCCATAACCCCCCCAAAAAATAGGATTCATATAAGGAACCCTAATAAAAGCCCAAGGTTTCTTAATCAGGTTCCTACACTACCCTTGAGCTTCACAAGTTCAAGAGTTGGCTGTGACACATCTTTGTTTCAGCCAGGTACTGTATCACGAAAACTGCGAACAGCAGAATCTTAGCACGAGTGACAGCGTTTCCCTCTCATCTAGAGGGATAGGAATTGGCTGGGGCCTTGGGAATGTTTTTGGTACAATAATTAAGGGAGTTTCCGAAAATAGGGGACCCTAATATATAGTACTCTAAATAGTAAGATCCTGATTATTTCGCCACTGGGCTTGGGGCTAGCCAGATCCTTGCATCGCGGCCTTTCGTGTTCACACGACTTTGTAATTAGGGTCCCTAAATAAGGTACCCCTCAATTTCGGAAACTCCTATGAGGATCCTGAAGGGATCCTACTTGGAGGATCATGGGACTTAGTAAGTAGGTTATAATTGGGGTTATAAGTTATAAGTCCCATAAGTCGGGTTATCCTAATTATAACCTACTTATAACCTTACTTACTAAGTCCCATGAGCCTTTAAGTGGTGCCAACTATGCCGACCCAAGGGATCCTTTGGCAGAAACGGGGATGGAATTCAAAGCTTCAACCAACGTATGACATGCCGTTTTCTGCTGGTATTGCCAACAGCAAGTCTGTCCAGGCGAAATAGAAAGGATTTTCCCGGAAACCCTAAATAAACCCTAAACCCTAGGATTCTCCGGGTTCCTCCAGGGTGTCGTGGATGCTGAAATCGCTCGCTCTGGAAACCTACATCCTCGCTCTGAGCCTGTCTGTTGCAGTATCTCTCTCGCAAAATCGACAACACATGGGTAGTTGTCAATATTAGGGTTCCCTTTTGGGGTCCTTATTATACTACGGCACCTAATTTTTTAAGGTACCCAAAAAAGGGGCCGTAATTTTGAGAACTACCTACATGGAGGTGACTCCAAACCAACTGACCGGAAATCTTATCCCGAAACTCGTTTTGGTTGACAACTCGGCCCCGCACGCCAACGCTGAGCCCCAGCAACCGAAGTGGCCGACCCACCCAAGCCTGGGACAAGCTCTCGGAGTACAGGATTTGGGAGGTATAGTACCCTAAATAGTGGGATCCTTATTATAAGGGCAATTTTCGGAAACTCCCATTTGGGGCTATTTTGATGTGGGGTCTATGCATCCGGGCTTTAAATCCCTAAATCCTCACAAGCCCTGAGCCTATTTAAGCCCTCAATCCTCCCTGATAAGCATGTGGGGGTTTCCGAAAACAGGGGTACCTTATTTTGGGGGTCCTTATAATAAGGATCCTACTATTTGGGGTACTATATTATGGTCCCCTATTTTCGGAAACTCCCATGTAGAAGTTGGTAGAAGGTCATGTGAGATCACGAGGAGGCTCATCTACCACTCAGCCGCTTCTGAACCAATAGACTCTCACGGTTTAAGGCTCAAGGTTTGACATGTTTTGACATAACATTCCCTCACCCAAAAGAGTAAGTAATATCTCTTGGATTAATCAGGTGCCTATTTGTACATGGAGGATTCGGGACTGATGTATATGTTCAGATAAGCCGGCACATCTTGAGCCCATAGCTTTTGCCGAAACCCCCGTTTAAAATTATCTAAGCCCTCGGAATGCTATGCTTCTGGTATTCTGCTGAATAGTTCGCATTGGCATCCATCAGGGCGATATGGCTTTATCTTGCAACTTGAAACCTGTTTGCGCAAGCAGGGTGTGGAGCATTGACAGGATGATACCACGAAGCTCTTCCCCGGCTTTTGTCCCTCCAAACACAAGCAGCGGCACAAAAATGCGGCTGAAGTCGAGGGATTTGATTCCTTAAACACCGATTAGCCTCTGCCCCAAATCCTATACAGTAGAGGTAGCCGTGTACCCACTCAACCCAAAACAGCAGGGCGGGGTGCTGTTTCTTCTAATAGTTGCACTAGTAATTAATATTCTTAATATGTTTTCTATCTGTAGTATTGTTAGTACCGGGGGTATTCTTAATATTACTCTTGGTTTTCCTTCGAAGTCCAGTACTCTTAGGTGTGTAGTTTTCTTCCTACTCGTACTCGTCATGATGGGGCCTATAGACTATTCGTGTTTTTGGCTGCCTTCCTGGTATTGGTGTTAGGTTTGGTGTCGTTCGCAGTATTCGTAGTACGAGTATTCCTCGTTTTAGTGAGTTGTGAGCAATGGAAAATGAGAAGTGGTAACACTCATGGTGCCAGTGGGAGGTTCATGGAACACGTAGGCCTATAGTAGGATATGACAGACCGAGGCCACTCTGCGTTTGAGGCGCCAGAGACTCCAGTGTCGTTTAATCAGGAGTCCCCTACCGAGGACCCCTATAGAATGCCCTAGAATGGTTTAAGGATGTGACCCAGGATGAGGCTTAATTCAGCGATCATGGAGTCTCTGGGTATGTGGTCATCTCAGGCTTAATTCAATACCAACATTAACACCCCTCTGACTGTCACACAAGTGCTCTGGCCCGCGGAGACATGGTCCTGCTGTGGCTTATGCTCCGCACAAGATTCACAGCAGGGTTCGCCAAACCTACAGAAAGAACTGCGAGGTCAGATTGTATAGGCTTTTCAAACAGCTCGTACTATCAGGCATTTTTCGTGATGCCCCGCGGTCCAGGCATTGTGTAAACAGCCTCCAAGCAAAGCCGTGGTGCTGTCTGGCAGCGGCTTCCACATGCGCCCGATGCGGGTGTTCTGCTGGGTGCTCCAGTTCTCTTCGTTTCGCAAACAAGCCTGGTGTGATTCACTCTGTGCCGCTACACTGTTGATGCGCTGCTGCAGTTGGTGTGACAGCGATCCCTCGACACAGACACATCAACATGCATTTCGACGTATGTGCGTAAGTACGTGTTATGTGTTGATACAATATAATCAACATATACACGTAGTATACAATATGTAGCTGGTGTCTGGCTTTGGCGAAAAGTCCAACAAACGTGCGCAGAAGCCTTGTTGGCATAAACAACTGTACACAACATCTGTGTACATAAGCATCAAGACTTCCAATATGTGTGCCTGCTCACAGACATGCCTTCTTGCGTGTGGCGAGCTAACACGACAGACATTGGCAAGGTGGAGAACTTCAGAGCTGCACGCTTTAAACTGCAATCTAATATATGTCCTATGAGTCCACATGGCTATCCATGCAGTCACCGAACTCGCTCGCAACAAACCAAGGAACGAACGCACGGTCGCGCACGGCTCCCCTCGGCCGGCCGGACTGACCATCGAACGAACTAACGCAAGACAATTTCCTACCCAACCAACCAACTCACCTACGAACTACCTTGTCTATCTGTCCGTCTGTCTGCCTGCCTGCCTGGCGGTCTGTCTGTCTGTCTGTCTGTCTCTCTGTCTGTCCACCTATCTATTTATCCGTCAATCTACCCGTCTAGTCTGGTATCTACCTACCTGCCTATCTGTTTACTTTTGTCTCCAAAGCTCTTGTGTATACAGCATGCTTCGAACCTCTCCGTGCACTCCGACGGCACAGCTGTAATGCTTTGGAGCGCCCACTGTGCAGCTAGCTTCACGGGCATACAATGCCGGTATGCCCTAGCTTTGCGTGCATCACATGTCCACTGTCCGGGAAGCGACAGTTTCACAATATGGCGAACATCCATGACGATACTTGCCTCTATGCCCACACTGGAAACACTAAAAGCCATTGAGCCTGCAACTGTTACCATAAGCCGGAACCCTGAACCAATCAAGTATAAAGCCAGCAATTGCGTTAATGACGAAAACGACGATGCCTACTACCACCACCAACACCGATACCACAACCACAAGCACGACAACGACAACAACGACGACGACAACAAAAACACCAACAACAACCCCCGCTCAACCTCCGGGGTGCGCGCCCCGCAGGGGCGCGACCCGTGTCTCTTTTATTTAATAAATCTATATAATGGGGCTCCAGTCTTTGTCTCTACCAACAACAACTACTACTGCTACTGCTACTGCTACTACCACTACCACTGCCACGGTTGCTGCTCTTACTACTGCTGTGCTACTGCCATGACCGGTGCCCCTATCACTGCCACAAACCATGACCACGGCCACGACCATAACCACCACCAAACCTTTACCACGACCAGACCACTGGGAGAGATCGCAGGGTACCACGAGGGCGACTATCAAGAAACCACGAAGGACCCTAGCCGACAGCCCAGCGACCACAAAAAAGACAGAACATCGCCGAATGCAGCAGCGGACCTATGCCTGATGGCATGCGCTTTCCCGCAAGCACCGGCGGGATTCGGGCACGATGCTTCCCAGAGTTACTCTGCCAAATAGTGACGGGTTCAGGACCACCTTTTTTTGCCCCTTACTGGTGGATCCAGGACCATGGCCAAAAATGCTTTCCTTCCAATATAGTCGCGATTTCAGGAGGGCGGGGCAAAATGCTCTCCGAAGTACTGGCGCACTGCAGAATGTAGCTACTATCGGCCACGACGGCGACAGCGGGGACGACCACATCCACAACCTCCGCTACGGAAGCCCCGTAAAGCGCCAACTGTGGTGCAGGAATCCTCAACATAGGAACTGTCCAGGAAACCATGTCCTGATAAGCTTCCCGTGCGGTGTCGAAAGAACGAATTTTCACTGGCAAAGATGCCAAAATCCTCAGTTCAGCCGACCCCTGATCCCTCGCCTTGCAGCCCTCGGAGGCCTTCAAGGCTACCGGGGGCAGGGGGCCAAGGAACAGATGCCATCCTGGCTTAGAATTTAGGAGTCTGGGATTACGCAAGGTCTAGGTCTAGGGTCTTTTTTGGGTTTTAAGGTTTACCGTTTAGGGGTTTGGGGGTTTAGGGATTCGGAATTGAACCAGGGTT